TTTGCTGATTATTGGTGTAAAGAGGCTGAGAAGCCAAAGAGGACACCATGGAAGGATGCCAGCAAAGCTTTAGGCTACCTCACAGAACTGGGGAGACAAATAGTGTTAAAGCTGGCAAGGCAGTTGGAATTGGAGACCTAAGACCCCAGAAAGGAATGGAGAAGTAAGCCTGAAACTCAGCACTGACTTGTCACTCAATATATTTGCTCAGTAAAATGTTTAGAGCAAGAGGCTAATTTTCCAAGCATAAAGTGTCTAAAAGCAGAGCAAAGCTCAAAAGAAGCCAGGAGCGCTCTGGCTGTTATTTCCAGGTACGCCTGGAAAACGACTTTTTAGGAATAGGGGAGACTGAAAGAGTCTTACAAAGACTATGAACCAGCCTTGAATCCATTCAGTTCTGATCAGAGTGAGGTGATGGTCCCCTCGGCTGCCTGCCATAAAACGTTCTGGAATCCTCTCTAGAGAAAGATCCAGAACATCTACAATTTTTACTACATAATGTCCAGCACTCAGTAAAAATTTACTTTCCATACCAAGAAAGAGACAATAGAAACCCACAGGTGACCCAGATAGTGGAGTTGTTTGACACAGACTTCAAAGCAATGGTAATTAAGATGTCCAAAAAATGATGACAAGAATTACAGCAGATAACCGGGATCAATAAAAATGAGTCAAACAGACAGAATACAAGTGAATATACAATAAATGAAATAAAGAGCTTAACAGAGTTTAACAGCAAATGCAGAGAAAGCTAAAAAAAAAAATTAATGAGCTGAAAGGTAATTTTATAAAAAATGTATATGATGGTCATCATCCTAAATAAATTATAAGTATACTAACTTGCTTTGTATAATGATAAATCGGCATTGCTGCTGTTTGTTTTAAACAGGCAACCTATTTTATAAATAAAATGGCACCTTGAATTTCAAGTTAGAAGATTTTGGTTCTGGTCACGTTTTCCTACTAGATGGGTGAATTTGGCAAAGTTGACTCACATCTCTAAATTTGTTTCTTCCCTTGTAAAAGGATAAAGTTGGTCATTGGGCTAAGAGAAAAAANAAATGTTTTTATAGTCTAACATTATCTTTCATCCAAACATTAGTAAAAATGTGTAGTTTTACATAGGACTTCTTATCTCTCTTACAATCTCATCTGACATGAAATAACTCAGAAATCACAATCATGTATTTAGTGTATAGCACTTGGGAAAAAAATTATTCTACTTCCGCATATAAAATAAAAACTAAATATTTAGCAAGTCTATAATTTATTGTCTGTGAAAATTATCTCCAACATATCATCAGGACCACAGGTATAGGAGTATATATTAAACATTATTAGAGATATGTACAGGTTAGCAAGCACAAGCCAAGATATAATATGCAATTGATCAAGTCCTAGCTCCATTTAAGACATGAACACTGCAAAGTTAAACTTTTATATACTGTTAATTGTTTGTCATCTTAGAATTAGTCAAATTACATAAAGAAACATAAAATGATATACCTTTTTGAGCTTCTGGATCCATTAAGCGATAAAGTAATGGATGACTATGTACTGATGTTTTCTTAATCATTTCTTGAAAACTAGGCAAATAATACATTAAAATATCAAATGGTAGTAATTAATTCAAAATGTATTGAGTGCTCTTATATTTACTTAATAAAGTTTAACTTCAAAGATAGCAGGGAAATTATATTGCAATCATATATTAATAAATCATGCTTTAAGAACTACCATGGAAACACTATCTAATACAAATCAAAATTCAAACAAAGGTTTCAGAATTCAGGCATTTTAGAAGCTAGTGGAGAAAGAGAACACAGTTTTCGTCAGAGACAACCTCAGCTATCACAAAGAAAGACATCATCTTTATATTGATTAGTCAGATAAGAATCCTAAAACTTAAAAAGTAATTAAAACATTGGGAGGAAATGAGTTCCATTCAGTGTAGTAAAAACCATAGTATTAATCTAAAATAAAGCTTCCCACATAGCAATAAATTCAAAGTTCATATTTTTCCTATCAATATTTCATTAGCACATACCCAATGTCAAACAGCCCGGCTGCCAAATGGTCTTTTGAACAGCTTCTGCTTTAAAGAATCCATACCATCTCAGCAAACATATTTAAAATTGAACAAATTAAATTATTTTATGCCTCTCATATAGAGCATATCATGTGAGTAGGCTTAAATGAGTTGTTATTCCAGTTTTGGAAAGCAATGATTTGATGTCTTACATCTCAATTTTGGGTTATATAATAATCGTGGTACTACCATAAATTTATATATCACTCGTTTCTTCCAAGGACCCTAAAACATTTTTCACAGCCACCACACTTTTCTTTATAGTAAGTTAAAAGAAAATTATTTCCCCTACAGTTTACAAACGAGGAAAACCAAAGGTTAAATTACATCCCTGAGGTCACATGGCTAAACAATAGCAAAAGTGGTCATACGTCTTTTCCCCATTTAGTTTCTCTTCTGTTCAATAAAGCAGTCGTTACTATACGTGTCTGCCTGAAGGTCAACATTTATTAAATGTTAAGTCTGGACATACCTAAACGAGTTAGCTGAGTTTCTGGAAGGTTAAAAAGTATCGTCCACAACTTTTGATTTGCTGATGCGACCTCTGAGGGTGCCTGAAAGGCCAGCACCAAAGCACACAGCTTGCTACTGTAAACACTGGCAGTGAGTCCTGCAGAAGGGATTAGGATCCTGACAGCTGCAGCTTCGGAGCCTCCAGTTATACAGCAGTGAGGTGGGAATGCCCATAAACAAGGAGGCTGAAGAACAGGAGGAATAGTCCATGGGAGTGTGCCATGAACAGAGATAGAATGTTAATAAGTGAACATAAACCACTCTTGCACATGAGTGAAGGCTATTTCTACGAAGCGATCCATTTTCAATTTTGATGCCAAGAATTATTTAAGACTACAGCTGAGACATCCTCAGAGACGGAGGTCATGTAGTTTTCACGTCACCTGTCTGGGGGCAAATCAACCACATCAGAATGTTTGAAAATGTGTGCAGTTGTGCTCTAGAC